GTTTCATAGAATGGTATTCAATTCTCTTTTGCTTCTTAGGCGGGATTCATAAAAATTAAACGTAAGACGATTGTACTCATGAAAACCGCCTTATTTTCTCCATTTGTTCAAGATGTCCATCATGTTCGAGTTCTCATTTTCGATTCGACATGTTGCCCATATTTTTTTGATTGGCCTTTTGATCGAAAGTAAAATCTTGGTATATATTACACTCTAATGGTTATATTATGTCCGTTGACGATCATTCTTCATGAGAAAAATGTCATCTTTTGGTGATGATACAATTTTCAGGAAGAAAACAACATAAACAAAATAAATGAAAAATTACACACACGGAGAATTCTGATAGAAAATCTTGTACATTTTCTGGACAATTCTATGATCTGTCGATTAAGATTTTTTTTTTAGAATTCCATAGAAACATTTTTTTTGCCGATTTTTATTGACAATTCAGGAATTTTGCCGTGTGATTTTTTCACAGAATATATTTTATTTGATAGATAAAAGTCAATGAATGTTGATTTTAGGAGGCAATGTCAATAGAATTCCCTTACTGATGAAAAAATTTCCAAATGAAACCTGTCTCCCGACACTTCATGGAAATAATTCATTTAGTCATCTCAAAGATGATTCATTTAGTTCATTATAAAGATGCTTCAGTACACAACAAGATGTTAAATTCAACTTGTTCTATTGCGTCTCACCCCATCACTACTAAGTTCAGAAAAATTAACAAGAAGATATGGATTGATCTGCATTTCATATCGGAAGTTGTCAATATTCACTCGTCCCTTTGGAACATATTCCTCTTTATCATTGGAGTATGATTTTTTCACAGAATATATTTCATTCGATAGATAAAAATCAATGAATGTTGATTTTAGGAGGCAATGTCAATAGAATTCCCTTACTGATGAAAACATTTCAGATGAAACCTGTCTCCCGACATTTTTCGTGGAAATAATTCATTTAGTCATCTCAAAGATGATTCATTTAGTTCATTATAAAGATGCTTCAGTACACAACAAGATGTTAAATTCAACTTGTTCTATTGCGTCTCACCCCATCACTACTAAGTTCAGGAAAATTAACAAGAAGATATTGATTGATCTGCATTTCATATCGGAAGTTGTCAATATTCACGCGTCCCTTTGGAACATATTCCTCTTTATCATTGGAGTCCTTATCTAAAATAAAAAAATTTCCTCTTCGATTCTTTTTTCCCAGCAGCTATCTTTCAGTGACTACCGATATCTTTCAGTACCGCCGTCACCGTGGCTATCGAAAGGTTCCTTCCATGACGAGTTATTGTCACACTTTCATCGCGGATTGAATTCAGTAGTATTGCAAAACAGTTAATAAGTGAAGCCCCCCGAATAGTGTCGAACAACGCGAGAGCATCATAGCCGTTATAGAATACTATTAGTGTCCATTAAGCTTCGAATACATCTTATTAATACGAAGAGTGAAGATTCCATTCATCACGCCAAGTTCGTGTGTCCCTGAGGCATCAACCAAAGGAACAATTTGTATTCTCAATGGAATGTCAAGTCTAACAATGTCTGAACTATTGAATGTGGTGGTTATCGTGAACTATGCGTGTGAAACTTTTCACTCTTTTTGACTCGACATCTGATAGGAGTGAAACGTCTAGTCTCCTAGGTCGTTCCTCTTCCTCGTTCTCTCCCTTGTCAAACAGATGGACTTCATATGGATCCCTCCACGCGTGTCAAGAGGTTTTGCGATCTCTTTGGACTAGAAGCAACAAGGTATTCACATTGCGGGAAAAATGGACTTGTTACAATAAATCTTGTTTGAACTAAAGTAACAAATTAGTAATTTGCTTCTAAATGCAATTTCTATGACAATGTTTTTAAAGTGAATTCAATGATTCATTGAATTCAACATTGGTCCAATATTAGCAGCTAGCGTTACCTTAACGTTGGGAGCCAACATTCCAAATTCGAACCTTCAAATTTTTTACCTTTCCCTGAGTATTGGTTTCAAAATAAAATTTTTTAACAACAGACGATGCAATCACTCCGAAGACGGCATTAGGAAGAATATTTTAAATCACAATTGGATTCATTTAAACAATTAATTTTGTTGGTTATCGTTATATGATTGACAGTTTTATTATTGATTTTCAGTTTTACTAGTTTGGGGAAGAGCCAATATCAATCCCTGGACGAGAAAAAGTGAAGATCGGTACGGAAATAGTACATTAGAGTACAAGGGCACAAATTTCGTTTTCAACGAATGTGTAGTTTACAGGCCGAGCCGAAGGCGAGGTCTGTACACACATTCGTTGAAAACGAAATTTATTACCGAGTGCTCTATAATATTTTATGTCAAGTCGTGCAGAAGTCGAGTTTTGAGCAGGCTGCGCGAAGCGCAGCGTGCGATAAAGTCGACTTATTGCACGGCGCAACATAAATGAATATATAGTGCTAGAAATGACATTACCTAGCCAAACACGATCCATCGCCGAAAACTTACGACGCCGAACCAATAGGAAGTCAGGACTCACTTATCCCTTCTCCAAATTTGCGACCAATTACATCCTTAAATACCGCACACTTTCAAGACTCATCATCATTCAATCATTCATCGTTCATCATTCGACAAGTCAATCCAACTTGAAAACAAGTTCACCTACAACTTACTCTCTACTCACCATTTTTTAATTTCTAAAAAAGAAAACTCAGTTTTGCTCTACGTCTGTACTTATCATTCTATAAACCTGCTCACAATTTTATGGAAAAACTGAATCTATTTTTGCTACGAAATTATTTCATCTCAGGATAGTCTTTGAATGTTAAGCACGAGATTTTTCATTTTTGATAATTTAAAGTAGCTCTACCCTTCGGCCAGGCTATGCTGTACTTTTGGATATTTTCAGTTTTTAAATTGCCCGGTGGCTTGGCGCACTGGGTAAGTTCGTTGCCTCACATGCGAAAGATTTCGAGTTCAAATCCCGGCCGGGTAGAATGGTATGCAGTATACCCTAACCGGGTCGAAGCGATGTAAAATAACGATAAAAAAAAAAGTTTTTAAATTTTTCAACTAAATTGCACGGAAAAAATTTGAAAAAATTCGTACTCAATCAGTATTATCTCAATTAAATTTCGCAAAATATTGATATTTTTTCAACCATTTCCCTCTTATAAATAGATAATGAAACTTGTCTGCAAAACGGTGGGTTATTTTCTTATGAAGTGTCAAAAAAATTCTTGATTTTTTCACATCTAATGAAAAAAAGTTCAGATTTTAATCTTTGATTACAATGGAAATGTTGATTTTCACATAAGACACTGGGTTAAATGCTGATTTTTAAACATTTCTCTTTTGAAAAACCAAAACGACAATTAAATTAAGAAAAAAAATAGAATTCCGAATCTAATCGAGTTTTCTGCATTTTTTTTGCAGTTTTCCATAATCTTTGAATTTACCGCAAGGGTAGAGCTACTTTAAAACAGATTGTTCTCTGAAAATTGAAAGTTTTAAATTATATTCTCTTTTCTTTCTGAGCGCAAGATTAATAAATAGCGATGAATGCTTTAATTTGTTTATATGCCCTGAGTCATGCTTGTTCTTCTCAATTGGGTCAAAAGAGTAGGAGATAAGTAATTATCGTTTATGGGTTTGGCTCAATACAATTCCGTTCAGCTGTTGTAGTTTACATGACCATGTTATTTCAGTTCGAATATAAAACGAGTGATCAGTATTCCAAGTGCTGAAGATCACTTATCAGAAATTTTCCATTGATATCAGTGGGTTTATTGACTGAATAATATTTGGAGGATTAATTAGTGGATTCCCTCGCGATGAGATAGGGACGGCGATAAGAATGTTAAACTCCGATTTTTCCGGAGATGCCGCGCTTAACGCTATTGCGAGATTTTAATATGGCATTCTCTCCGACAATTACGTCTTCATATTTTTCTTACACGTTTATCCTCTTCTATAATATTTACTGTAGTTGACGGAAACCTGAATGTAATCCATGCAATCATTATCTGCTGCAACTGCATTTGGATTCAGTAGCGAAAATGTAAAACGTGAATATTCAATTTTTTAATCGTACATTCGTTTCCGTAAAGAAATAATAGAAACTGTTTTCTGATAACTGAATAAATAACTGTTTAAATTAAATCAATTGTGATTTAAAATATTCTTTCTAATGCTATCTTGACCGAGATTGATCATAAGTTTGATTGCATCATCTACCAATGTTGGGGTAATGTTGGCTGTCAGCGTTAAGGCAATGTTGGATGCCAACGTTAAGGTAATGCTGGCTGCCAACATTGGGGCAATATTGGCTGCCGACATTGGGCCAATGTTAAATTAAACGAATCATTTAATTAATACATTATCACAGAAATTTCATTCGGAACCAAATTGCTACTTTGTTAACAAAAATGTATGCTGCGACTAAAGCAATTTCCCAATGGTTTTTGTATCGAACTGAATGCCTCATAAGAATGTCTTCGACATTCTATCTATAACCACTCATCATTGAAATAACACATGCCCGATTAAAATGAGAAAAATTGATGCATTCCACCGTTACAATTTCCTGATTCCACTACTGAATTGAATAGCATCAGAGAGCAGTCTCAATTGAGTTATATGACACTCCAATTGAAATCCACAGGCGTGAGGCACAGATAGTAAACACCACGCGTTTGACAACAGATTAGATACAGCAGTTCTATGCATTATCACCAGCTCGTATGAAGAAATATCATGTTTGGGGTGCACACAACAATTCAATGCCAATGTAAAATATAAACGAGAACATAAACATGTGAATGTTGATCCACAATATGGAGCAAGCGCCAGTGAAACACCCTCAATACTATTCCAAGTAAATATTAGCTTTCAGAATACCATACATCACTGGAATGAGATAGGTATATATAGTGAGTTTTCATTCGCCTCGGTTCTTGTGCTCAGTTGATTATCAGTGTTAGTGAAGTACGGCTGAAGACGGCACGCGCAATTTTTTCGATTCTTCATCGTCAATCGTATTCCTGATGATTGAACTCAATAACTATTTGTTTTGAAAAAGTAGAGAATTTTTGGTTTAGATGTCTATTAGTTCAAAGATAACATCCATTCAAGTCCCCAAAAATGTTGAAACTTGGGCATTTATCTCGGGTTAGTTACTTGCATTATTATTTTCATGGAACTAAGTAACAAAGTGGTGAAATTAATTAAGTGCACACATGGGAAAAATTTCATTGAAAAATGAGCGCATTCTCTAGAAAATTCTGTTTAACTTCTTTTAGAAATTCTTCTCTACGCGTTTTTTTTTTTCAATAGAAACTTTTTTGTAGAAAAAAAAATCAAGAGAATTTAATTTTTCTCTGGAACTTACTCTATTCAGAAATTTTATAAGTCGTTTGCATGATTTTTTTAAATGAAAGACGAACAAAAATGGAGTGCAAAAAAACTGGAAATTTAGGCAGGAATTTCAACAGAAATCATCTCAATAGAATAAGTTGTGTGCAAATATCAAATTCTATTCATTTTTTCTGTGAAATAGTTTCCCCTGATCATTTTTCATTTCCAATAGAAATCCAATAGAATTGACTAGCTACACGGAGAGAAATTTTTTAGAAAAATTGTGCTAGCACGGGAAAAGAGGCGCAAAAGTAACGGCCAGGAAAAAAACCCATGCCGGCACTAGAAATTTTATTGGGGAAAACGTGAATTTTTTCCCTTATTTCTGTGAAAATTTCACAGAAATCCTCAGAAATTTTACCTTAACAGCACTAGAATTTTTCACAGTCGGTGGATTGTGATTTTTTCCAGTACCCCTACTAGAATTTTTCTAGAAAATTTCTCTCCGTGGAATGCATTAGAAAATTCTATCGGAAACTTGTGCTATTTTTTAAATAAAAATGTTCGATAGATCTTGATTTTTCTATACAACTTGTTCTAGGAAAATATTTTCTTATGAAAAAATTCAAGCCGAAAAATTTCCATATCAAAAAATCAACTCATTAGTCGGTATCTGCTCGCCAGACATGTTTGATCATTTTTATTTCATGTCGTTAAGAAATTATCTACATGTACCACTTCATTACTGAAATTCATCAAAGATATTCATTCGAAAAAATGGAATGTTGGCCACACCAAGCTCTGATAATATCCTAGTATTGTGTTATGGGGTCGACAAACATTAGATTATAGCTTGCACGAGGTTTCATACGTGAGCCGAAGGGGAATGGAGCAATCACACGAGTCCAATCCACCGCCCATTAGCCCGAATAACGTCTGGGAGAAATAGACTATCGTTTCAATTCTTAAACTTGACTAGTCATTGTCTTTGCAATCACTATGAACACAGTGCTGACATTGTTTCCATCGTCCAAACGTGCATCGTCCAAACGTAGGTGTGGTCGATGTACGACTGAGATACAGAATATCAGTGATAGCATTTCTAACGATACATTTATGAAATAATGTTGAGGGGTTAATTCGTGATATAGTATCGGAAGTATGATCGTCACACGCTCGGAGACTGAGATACGTAAAACAGACGTCATACGATGATAATCAGAATGTCTAATTGAGGCGATTCAAATATTTATCAATGATAACCGATCAATGTTTGGGTGATATCACGCTTGCCGAAACGATTCAATTTCGAAAGCGAGGAGATTGAGGATCAGAGATTTAAATAGCCAGGTCAAGGTTATTTGTTGTTCCCATTTAGTGATGCCCCGAGAGACTTTACGAGACATCACGAGACAGTACTTTAGAGATTTTATATTAAAAACTGAGATTTTACATTAAAACACCAAAAACTTAAGACCGAGATGAGATAAATTGACTCGGAATCATCACTGCCTATTTTGAGACAAGGACGAGACCAAAGATTTTCATGTTCATTGAGACCGAGACCATCTGTCCAAAGTATTGCCTCGTAAAATTCCCCGCGGCGTCACTATTTGCATTAGTATTAAAAAATCTTCAACAATGAAATGCTTCGGGAAAAAATCTCTTTTTTTATGTTCATGAAGATTTAACACGTTTAGCAACTGTAAGTTGGCAATAAAATACGCGATTGTTTGAAACCTTCTTGTTATTACCAACGATTTTATCCAACTCGTCTTTTCGACGGGGGAATTGATTGATTCTCTTAAATATCACTTAGCCTGCAGTCCAAACATCTGTGAGAAATCTACAGCATAAGCCACGGCGAACATCATCATGACCAACAAGGCATCTTTAGTTTCACAAATGAACATGAAAGAAGAAAAGGAAACGCCTGATGAAGTCAAATCAGTAGACCATGTCAGTTATTCCTGCAATGATTCAACCGTAGATCATAATAGTAACAAGAACATTAGACTCGCTGAGCTGAATGGAATACCCATCGAACAAAAGAACCGTAATTATCTGGGATTTCTTCCGCTCAAGGATAATTCTGTCGCCAAGTTTCCTGCACCGTCAGTACTGCAGGTCACTCGAGTTGAAAGAAGATTACGTCTAGAGATCAATAGCAACTCAAAAGACGATTCAAATCTATTCAAGACCACTCGTGAAAGGCATGATGATAGTCCGATGACTCCCCTCTCACCAACATCTGAATTCCTCAAGAATGCTCACAGGAATCAGAGACGACGGAGAAGCATCGCGGACACCGTGATTGACTCCAGTCTAGGTCCGAGTCTCCTAGGAGTCTCCTCTGATCTAGCAAAAAGCCTCATGACAATAGACGTGAACCGAGACGCCTGTCAGACAAGATTTCACGCGGCTAGATGCAGTATGAGCACACGCGAAGAACTTTGCCTCCTCGCTTGCCGACGCAAGTCCTTGCTACCCTTCATACGTCTACACATGCCGCAACCGCACTCTTGGGTAAAGTTGCGCTATGAATTGGTGGAAACTAACCCTGATCTGAATGGTGATGATGGTTGTGCTGTGCGGAAATTCAGCTTTGGTGAACAAAACTCGCAAGTGATTAGTTTTTCACGTGTGACGAATGTGACGGCTTTCATCGTGTCATGATGATTGAGAACTATGAAGTCATAACAGGAATGAAGACTCGGAATAACGCTTTTGACTTGAGTGGAATGCCTAATGAATTAATCTACTAATTAATTTTTACGGATAACAGTTTTAAATATTTTCATGTATTTGTCTGAGATGATCCGAGCGCGTTTCCAAGGAATATTAATTTTATATATTTTATATACTTAGAGGATCTTCTGTTATAAATTTCTCAGTAAGTTAATCGTCATAAGTCGCTGTGAACTTCTTTCAAAATTGCATATTTTCCTCAAGTATTAGTGATTCTAGGATCCCATAGTCACGGAACTACCTCATAAAAACTTTTCTCAAGTTTGCTTTTGCATTCACTTATTACGAAGATAATTCAACATTTAATGGGGCGTAAAAAAATTGAGCCATTTGGTCATATTTCACAACTTTGCTACTGATGATATTACTTTACATATAGGTGAAGATTCGCTCATTTACCTGTGGTTTCAATCATTTAAAAACACCGACGGTGAAAACAGAAGTATATCTAATCGAGGATGTGCTTCTGATAACATTATTGCATTCAACAAATCCGGCCAGCTCCACTGGAGTTGCGTTTACACAAGTGACCATTTATTTTTCATTTGCGAATCAGTGTGGATGTTCATTGTACTGTGTTGCTTATTCCGTTTATAAGAAAGTGTACCGGAAAGATTTGCAGTCGATGTGAAGAGGACCGAACTGTCTTCATATTGCCAAGAGTTTTAGTGACCGAATATTTTAAACTCTTCGGGAACAATGTATTCTCCAATAATATCGTGGATGAACCGTGTGATCGCTTATTTCCGCAGTTTTAGTAACTCAACAGCTGTATGTTTTTGTTGTCAATGAAAAAGAAACAAATTGTCCAAAGTAATATACCGAGGATTGATGTTTCATTGATGCAATTTTCGTTCATATTTACACTTCAGACGTCCACACGAAAACGAAGGAACCTAAGTGCTATGTGAATACATTTAAGAAGACATAGCACTTACGTCACACATTCTGTGCGACGCTATCGTTGTTTATTGAAATGTTGTGTTATGTATTTTTAGACACTACATCGTACAGACTCCATGGTGTCACTCTGCTACCGGTCTCTTGCCACCTACATCGCTGAAGATAATCTTCAAGGTCTTCAAGGATTTCTTGAAATCAAACGTATTGCCATTGATGATCGTGATGAGGTCAGTTTATTATTGTAATTATGAAGGGAAGGGGCAAAATGGATCGTATTCAAGCTGCCCATTGCAAAGAAAACATTTCGTAATGGCAGCATCTGGTAGGTCTAGGTAGAATCTGGTAGAATGGTCAACCCCTGACGTATGGCGTCGATACGATGGAGCGAACCTCAACTCGCTATTGCCATCTAACGTCGGCCGTTCTTCAGGGGTTCAGAAAGGTATTTCTCAGAATTCGAAATCAAATAGATCTAATTCAACGTTGTGGTTCAAAAAGTACTTAATTCAACTTTCAATAAATCCTTATTTGAAAGGCGCACACGTATCGAGACGTCCTTTCTCGTAAGTTGTCTCACACAAATATCAAATCTAACATCCCAAATATCTCGAAAGCTTGTTACACTCCTGATCGACTCTATGATCTCAATCGCCTATTCTCACGGAAGCGCGCCAACAAACTAGTCTAATTTGAATTCCAAGATAGCAATCTTTGAATCACTCCTTCGAGTCCTCCCAACTCCAATTTGCCCCATCTCACTATCCAGTTGAGATCACCCGCAACTAATTCATCATCATCCAAACCATTGTACACCTTGCAGAATGGCAGTACAGCACTCATATATGCCTCCTCCAAAGGTAAAATCCAATTCGTCCGAGAACTCATCAACCACGGAGCAGACGTCAACGCTGAGGATGCAGACAATTGGACTGCACTCCTCTGCGCAGCGAAGGAGGGACACACAGACGTATGTCTGGAACTGCTGGATCATGGCGCAGACCTAGAACACAGAGACATGGGAGGATGGACAGCCCTGATGTGGGCAACCTACAAAGGAAGACTCGTCACCGTGAAATTCCTATTGTCTCGCGGTGCTGATGTCCATGCTCACGGCAACTACCATATCTCCTCATTGCTTTGGGCGTCAGGTCGTGGGTACATAGACATCGTCAGAGAACTCATTGCCTATGGAGCTAAAGTCAATGTTGGAGATAAATACGGAACAACTGCGCTCGTATGGGCCTCTCGTAAAGGAAACCTTGAGATTGTCGATGTTTTGTTGAAAGCTGGGGCTAATGTCGACACCGCAGGGATGTATTCCTGGACGGCTCTCATCGTTGCGACCCTAGGGAACCATGTCGACACGGTTATGCTTCTCCTAGAGCACAAACCAAACGTAAATGCTCTTGATAAAGACGGGAATACAGCTTTGGCCATAGCTTCTCGTGAAGGCTACCATGAAATAGTCAGCGCTCTGTTGAACGCTGGTGCATACATAAATATTCAGGATCGTAATGGCGATACGAATCTCATCCATGCGGTGAAGGGCGGTCATCGAAGTGTTGTAGAAGCTTTGTTGAAGAAATACGTCGATGTTGACGTAGCTGGGAAGGACAAGAAGACAGCAACCTACATTGCTGTAGAAAAGGGCAATTTAGCGATCCTAAAAATGCTTCTAAATGCCAATCCCGATCTCGAGATTGCGACAAAGGATGGGGATACTCCCTTACTACGAGCTGTGAGATCACGAAACGCTGAGATTGTCCAGCTACTACTGGACAAGAAAGCGAAAGTATCGGCAACTGATAAGAAAGGTGATAGTGTCCTACACATCGCCATGCGTGCGCGATCGAAGGCTATCGTTGAGATCCTTCTACGGAATCCAAAGAACAGTCAGCTGCTGTATCGTCCAAATCGGCAGGGCGAGACGCCTTACAATATTGATATAAAACACCCGAAGACAATATTAGGACAAATTTTTGGAGCTAGAAGGTTGAATACTAATGAAGACAATGAGAATATGCTCGGGTACGATCTTTACAGCAGTGCGCTTGCTGATATTCTCAGTGAACCGTCATTATCAACACCGATCACGCTCGGTCTCTACGCGAAATGGGGGTCTGGCAAGTCATTCCTGTTGAACAAATTACGAGAGGAGATGAAGAACTTCGCGAGACAGTGGATCGACCCGACTTTTCAGTTCTCATCCCTCTTGTTTTGTTCGACAAGTCACGTATCATTGTTTCTTGGAGTTATGTTAGGGCTTGCTTTGCAGTCTTGGATCGTCGGCGTGGTCTTCGGTGGTGCTCTCTTCTGCACTGTCTACGTTTGTCTGATCCTCGTGTGGTACGCCAACAAGAAGTACGACTGGTACTGGCCGTACAACGTCACTGTAGCCTTAACTAAGAAACTGAATTCCTTCAAGCTCTTGCTGCAAATCATATTCTGTCATCCACCGGGCGGGAGAATCAGTACTGACCCGTCTGAAATAACAACCACTATACAACCCATAAAATTCTACTTCACGGATCAGACCAGAGTTGGAACGACAGCAGCAGGTGAAAATGCTGTTGTTCAGATGGTCGGGTCCTTGTACGATTCCATCGAAAATGATTTCGGATCCCTTGCCACACGGTTGTACCGTGCATTCCGACCGAAACCGGTCAAATCTACTACTTCATGGACGTGGAGACACCTCTGCTGTCTGCCTTACATCGTCATATTCGAATTCTGCTTCCTAAGTCTGCTCATTGGCATCTCCACATTAACAATATATTTATTGGATCCTTATCATAAGCCAAGACCTGTACCTACCATCAACACGAACTCATCAAGTCTGAACGATTCAATTCCGCTATTGCCCCCAAAACCTGAAGAATCCATCATAGACCCTGTAACGGCGTACATAATAATGGGCACCGTTGGTCTCATCCTAGCCTTCAGCATAATCGCCAATCTCTACACATGGAGCAGAATCTTCCACTCATTACTATTCTCTCAAAGACGTCATCTTCATCGAACTATAGCCAAATTAGATTCCCTGAAGAGCGAAGGGTTCATTCAAACGTTAAGAGCCGAAGTCCACATGATGACGGAAATGGTCAAGTGCCTAGACAGCTTTACATCTCAACAGAGCAGACTAGTACTGATCGTGGATGGACTGGACAGCTGTGAACAAGACAAAGTATTGCTAGTTCTCGACGCCATGCAAGCGCTCTTCAGCGACAATCACTGCCCTTTCCTCATCATCCTAGCCATAGATCCTCACATAATAGCTAAAGCAGTTGAGCTCAACAGCCGTCGCATATTCGCAGAATCGAATATCGGAGGGCATGACTACCTCCGAAACATGGTGCATCTACCCTTCTACCTTCAGAACAGTGGCTTGAGGAAGGTTAAAGTCGCCCAGCAGACAGCTCAATTCGTCAGTAAGAAGACTGGTGGCTCCTGGAATTATGAATCCGCGTGTGGTGATGACAACTACGCGACCACAAGTGCAACCATTCAGCATTCGATATCTAACAGACGATTAAGTACAGAGTCTAGCGTCATTATGAACAGCAATGAGAAGCTAAAGCCACCAAGTAGAAAAGGCAGTCGCAAGATGCGTCTGAGTGAGTCTATAGCTTCCAGCATCGGCAGCAATTTGAACCGTTTGGGAGGAGCGCAAGATCTCAATAAGATGCTTTTGACTGATGATTATTTTAGTGACGTTAATCCAAGGAGCATGAGGCGTTTAATGAACGTTGTTTATGTGACTGGGCGGCTGTTGAAGGCATTCCAAATTGATTTCAACTGGTATCATCTAGCCAGTTGGATCAACATCACTGAGCAGTGGCCGTTCAGGACGTCGTGGTTGATTCTGTATTACGATATGTATGAGGAGAACTACGATGATTCGACGTCGCTGAAGACACTTTACGATAAAGTTAGGCCCCAGATTCCGGTGTTGAAGGATGTACAACCATTGCTGGAGATGGATCGGGATGAGCGGAAGCTAGATGTCTTTCTGACGTTCCATCGGTCGAGTCTTCTGGTCAGCGATATGAAAATCTTCCTGCCGTTTACCATTAATTTGGATCCTTACATCAAGAAGAAGATTAAGGAGGAGCAGCAGGGCATCGAGGAGGATCCCCTCCATCAGAGTATTTTGCTCAATAATGGGGGACTGTTGTTGAATAATCCTTGGCAGGGAAGTGCTGTGGCCTCGGGGACTCTGGCGAATCGTCATGGGAAGCTGACGAAAGCTCCCAGTCTTCAGGGCTCTGGTATTCTCCATTCGCCGATTCCTTCAATTCCTAATCATCCGGCTTTGAATCCCTGGCCGATTATACCACCAGTTTATAACTGGGTGCCGGGGTATCAGCCGAAGGTTCCATCGGCGACTAGTTCATTACCATCGGAATTGCTTGATGTGAGACTGTCCAAAGCGTCGGTTCAAGATATTTGCAATCTTCTTGGGAGGATTGAAGAGTTGAATCCCAGGAATGTGGAGACTTATAGGAATATTATTAGGGAGAATAATGTCAACGGGAAGGTGCTGCTGTATTGCGAGATGTCGGAGTTGAAGGAGGTAAGCAGTTCTGTTTCAATTCACATTGTTCTGTTTCCTTAATTTCGCCCAGCCAAAAATGGTCCAACAAGCGGTATGAATTCAAAAACTTCCATTGAAGAAATTAAAAACCATTTTGTTCAACTTTACCAACGTTTTGAATCTCCAAGGGGCTCTTTATCAGGGCAATATTTATTCTGCTAAAAAAAATTGTTTTAACAACCAAAAACCAAATTAAAACAAAACAGTCATATTATTGTTGAATCGATTTCATAATTTAGTTATTTCTGGTTATATTCCGACAAATTTTTTCCAAAATATAAATGAATGATTGAAGATAAAACTGAACAAAATAAAAATACCTAAACGTCCGTAAGATGTAAAGAATCAGCAGAATTCTGTCACAAAAATACTCCCATAAAGTCTAAATATCAATCCAAATCTGTTGACTTCAAGATTTTTTCTTCTGTCGAACATTTCTATTTCAAAATGATGCGTGTGCGGGAAAAATGCGAAATTTAGAATGGAAATTGAATAAATAAAATACAGAAAAACTCTATCAAATAGAAAATTTCTATTTAAATCATTTGAATCATTCTAGAAAATTTAAGGAAAAAATTCAACGCTTTCTTTATAAAAAACCTATGACAAAATTAAATTTGTTTACAATAGAATTAAAAACGAGTTTAGATAATTTTTCTACAATCATGAATTAAAATATTGAACATGGATCTGCTGTATTATAAAACCCTGCAATGAAGCATTTGATATCCAGGTACTGAAAATGACTTTCGGTGATTGGGAACTCTTCCGTATGCTGGTGACAACATTACGAGAACATGAACTGAAAATACTGACTGGAACTCAGGATGAGGGTTCCCGCAGTGTTCGTTTCACTGTTGGTAATGAGCACGGTTCTCACAAAGATCAAAGAGTGGAGTCTCACGGAAATATTCAACGTGGTTCTATCCACAACGATAAGGAGAAATCTACCAGCAGAACTGATGGGCCTTCCAGACGCGATCAAGCTAAGCACTCCGTCATGGAGAAACAGGTACATCACAAATCATTTCAACTGCTTTATTGGTGACTGCTTAATTAAGGGATTTATGGCGAAGTGGGCATGTAGGAGGTTCTCTCGCAGAAAACCAATCGCTGAACAAAAAAACGATATTTCAATTACAAATTTTCAATCTATTTCGACCACCTTTGGGTACGAAATATTTTTTTAATAACTTTTCTATTTTTTCCCACATATTTCAAGCCTTCTTTTATTTTTCTAGCTTGTCTTTTGGATAATTGGAAAATAATTAATATGGATAGAAAAAGTGACAACGTCGTGCCGTTCGAGGTACAAGTTGGCAGCACTGATTCACTCAGCTGTTATGTTCCTTGTAACGAAATGTATGATCACAACTCCATTCGTATTTGCCGCGCTTACCCCTCCGCGATTTGTAACCTCGAAGTTGCCGCTATTCCAAGTTGCGCACGCAGAATTCCTTCTTTTCATGAGTTTTTGAATTACCCCTTCTAGACAATTCTCCGAGGCCACTCGGATTATTTTTTTTATGCTAGCGATAAGTGCGAAATTTCAGAAAATGGTGACTTTTTCTATTATTAATATTTTCTTTCCGAATTCTCAGGAGAGGCCGTGTTAAAATGCATTTTTTAGAAAAAAATCCTGTTTCACCCATTCTCCTAGGCTGTCTGGCTATATTTAAAAAAAATCATCAATTTCTCGAGTTTTTTTCAACCCTCTGACCACGCCATAAATACCTTAAGGAGGGACCACGGTGAAATTAAAAGGTCCTCGTTAGAGCTAAGGACTTATCGGAGCAAAAATGTCGAGCGGATGAAAACTGAGACACTTGGACGATTCTAAAAATAAAACTGAACAACGTTGTTTTTCGTTGATTCGCGAGGTAAAATCGATTGTAGTCATAATGTTTTCTACTTTTTAACATGTCCCATCATGTATCAAAAGTCGCTCGCTGTGTCCTCTGCTCCAGCGAGGAGGGTAACCCCTTAATTTCTAATTTTCTATTTTACTGTCACGTCCCGATACAATAAACACTTTTGTTCATGTGCATTCATTGCCACCTGGCACGCTGAACAGTTTCAGGTGAGTGATAGAAATTGGGCTTGAAAATCATTTCTTTAATCATACAAGACATTCAAAATTTTACAGATATACATTGAGAGAAAAAAACGGTATTTTCTCAACCAAGTCTTGGTTGAACAGAAAAAAATCGCACATTTTTTACATTATTTTTGTCTTGCGTTTTTTCTTCCAAACAAGACTCGTTTGAGAATTTATTTTCTTCTAATTGTAAATAATAAACAAATAGATCAATTCGGTGACGAATTAACAAAGCTATCAATTTTCTGAACTTGAGAATGTTCCACGTGAGAATATTTGATGGAGTGGAACAGATTTACTTGAGGAAAATTAATCAACTTGATAGAAGAAAATTTAATATCTTTCACAAAAATTAAATTTTTGTCGTGATCATCAGAAATATCCCTAGAAGCATTCGAACTTTTGGCAGGAAAAAATATAATCTATCGTACGACAATCATTTGATCTGAGAAAACTCCATAGGTTTATACTATAGAAAGAATACATTGACGAGGACAGAATATTTTTTTCCCCAAAAAATTGTCCCCTCGAAATTATTTAGCTTTGCCAATAACACAGTTTTCGGCAAGAAAATTGTTGTTTCCTCTTGAAATTATCATTTGTTCCATGGAAATTATAAGTATTTATTGGACAAAGATATATACTACTCAATAGCATTCACTTGATAAAACCAGAGCCGTATATAATTCTCTGTAGAATGAATGTATTTACCCGAAAGACCTATAAATGTCTCACGAGAACAATTACTACAACGAAAATTATCATGTTTTGGTGGAAACTTTCTTCTTTGTCCACAAGTTAATTGATTCAACACGACAAAAGATCCCTCCAGGGGAACATATAATTTTTCGGTATAACAATTTTTTTCTCTGAGTGCATAATTCGACACTTCCTGATAAAACAGAAATACTTCATTTTTATTTTTAAAAAAAGGGTATCTCAGAATTCCCTATAAAACTAATCTATCTGAATTTTCTGGGGAAAACTCATCCACCTCAAATGAAATCAGAAAAAAATTATTTCGTGAACGCTGATTAAATAGTGTTTAACCGATTTAGCCGACATATTGTGAATTTATAATATGTTGAGAGATTCATGTCAGAGAATTAATAAAATAAATGGGAGGGACGAGGGGAGTGATCGCATCAAGAATTCAACGGGAGAACTGAGTGGGTAGATCATCAATTCAGAATTTATCAATAGGAAAATTGAAATCATCTCCTGAAACGAGTGCAGTGAAGTTTTGGAACGGTCATATATGGAATTCTAGGACTCGGAATAAAAATACGTATACAAGGAAAAGACATTGAGAGTGAGAGTAGCCAGTTTTTTTCGGCAAAAGAATTTTATTTTTTCCAGGACTTACGTGCATAACTACGCCTCGTACGATCAGAATAATTCAAAGGTATCGAAGGTATCTGTTTTGACATCTTGATTGGCACGTGCCACATGGAATTAATTCTCAAACACTTACGTTTTCATGCTTTTGACAGATGCATGAATTTAAGTTGTATGGGAGTATCGTGAAGTTTGAGGAATGGGAATAAAATAAAAGAATTGCTGAATTCTCTAGGAATTATACATATTAAATGAGTACCACTTGCACAGTATTTAATCAGAGTTACTGAGATAAGTATTTTTTTATTTCGTCTGAGTTACATGAGTTTTCCCCGGAAAATTGAGATAGATGAGTTTGTAGGGAATTCTGAGATACCCTTGTTTCATTAGGAAGTGTCGAATTTGTTTATTCTCTCTAAATCCACCAGAAAACATTCAAAACCTAATTTCCTCAAGATGAAATTATTGTCACTGTCATTATTGTTCAGATAATGATTATATTCATGAAAAAAAAAATAGTACAAGAGTTGAACGAATGTATTCTGCTAGGTAACATTGGAAGAGCAGATGATCTGCGGAGCTCTGCAAACGCTGAATGAAGAGGCATGCGAGGATGTTTTAGACGTTCCCTCACCGTCTGCCATCCAGCCAGACTCACTAGCAGGTGAGCCCACTTCTCTTCCGCTTACACTGCCTCTGGTTATTGTTGAAGAACCACCGAAGTCTGACCAAAGCCCTGACATCGACATCGAGTACGGCACACATTGCTAGTCAATAATTACATATCGATTATCAAAATGCTGAGATAATTGCCAAAGTTGCTTTCGACAATATTTAGATGTGATTACGAAGAAGATGCTATCAATATTCGAAATACCTGCCTCCATTTAATTCAGTGGTGAAGTGGTAAAAAATTATAAAACGACTCAACTTTATCCCTGAAACTGGAAAACATTAGAACGAAGTGTTTATGAACACTTTCTTCACACTAATTCTCATCTTCAACTGATGAACACTGATTTCAGGGGGAAATAATTTTTCTCGTTTTACCAATTCATCACTTGGAAAAATGATCTGTTGTTTTTCTTCCGTATTTATGTGCCATATGTTCTAGTTTCTTGTACTACACGCACGAAAAAATTCAATAGAAAAATCTATCGAATTCGTTATAAAATTCTATTGAATTTCTATTAAACTTTCTATTACTTTTTAGCTGATTCTATTGACATGTTGAATAGAAAACATTCAATAGAAAAAGTCAACAGAATTCGATTTTTCTATATAACCTATTCTTTTCATATATTTTCTATAGAATTTGCTCGACTCAAATTTTCTAAGCTTTTTCATTCTATTTTTCTTTTCTTCTCATAAAGAAAATCAAAAGAAAAAACTTGGAAAATTTTAGCCGAGGAAATTCTATAGAAAATATCTCAATAGAATAAGTTATACAGAAAAATTGAATTCTATTGACTATTTTACTGAATATTTTCTATTGAACATTTCAGTAGAATCGGCCAAAAACTAATAGAACAGTTCATTAGAAATTCAATAGAATTTTCTAACGAATTCGATAGGTTTTTCTATTAAATTTTTTCGTCCGTGTATTTTTATTGACTATTGCCTCATACATGGATGAAAATCATTCGAGTATGGAAATATGTTCTCATGTATATAAATGAAGAGTGAAGTATTACCAAATATGTAATGTAATGAGTTGAAAATGTCTTGGTTTGGAGAATGTTTATTACATTATTATGAAACTGTCGTCTTGTTAATAATGCAATCCAATAAATGGAGTGGTAAAGCGTAATAGAAAGAGTTGTTGCATGATTTTTTTTTGTTGAATGAAGTATGAAAGTTGGACTGGAAGTCATAATGCAGATTTTTTCGCATGTAGCTTATCAATTTTTAATTATTCATTAAAATTAAAGTATTTGTTGAAGGTTTCCTATTCAATCTTCTATCTTATCTAGCGATAAAAGACTTCAGTGAAAATCCTAATAATCTCGATGACCAGTGCGTGTAGAGTGAAATTTCAAGGGCCATTTTTTTTAAGAGAATTTTCTCGGATACAAAAGAAGTTTTCTTCGCATTTTCCGATAGTCCAAATGATTACAAATCGAACGGCGCTTAAATCGTGATGTTAACAGCTTTGTGAATGGTATAAATTGAGTTGAAATAATTATAGAACTATTGAATGAAATTCTAGATATATTACGTTTTGCCACTTCACACATCAATGATCTGAGAATATTCAGGTAAAATGCATTCATCGACGCTCACTGATTATGATGCCTGGATATTTCCTACATTTGTCAAAATGAAATGATGAAATATGAAAACTGGATGGGAAGTCATAATGCAGACGTTTCTAATTGTCTGTGGCTTATCAATTTTTCATTATTGATCAAAGTGAAAAAATGCTTGTCCACAATTTTTCATTGAATCTTCATACTTAGCGATAAAAGAATTCAGTCAAAGCCCTCATCATCTCAATGACGAGTGGTTGTGGAGTGAAATTTTGAGGTCCATTTTCTTGCGGAGAATTTTTTCAGATACCAAAAAAATTCTCTTCACTTTCCCTATTAGAATTGCTCAATTTTTTATTAATTGGGCAATTAGTAGAGATTAATTTCTCTGAGATATTACGTTTTTAGTACAATTTCAAGGGCCATTTTTTGTAGAGAACTTTCTCAGATATGAAAGACGTTCTCTTCGCATTTTCCGATAGTCCAAATGATTACAAATCGAACGGGGCTTTCCGAAATAACTGCGATCGCGTTAAATCGCGATGTTAACATCTTTGTGAATGGTATAAATCGAGTGGAAATAATTATAGAACTATTGAATGAAATTCTAGACATGTTACGTTTTGCCATTTCACTCATTAATAATCTCAGAACATTCAGGTAAAATGCATTCATCGACGCTCAATGATTATGATACATGGATCTTTCCTACATTTGTCAAAATGAAATGACGAAATCTGAAAATTGGATGGGAAATCGTAAGGTAGACGGTTCTAATTGCCTGTAGCTTATCAATTATTTATTATTTATCAAAATGAAAAAATGCGTGTCCAAGATTTCTCATTCAATCTTCATGTCTAGCAATAAAAAAATCTCAATCAAAACCGCCATTATCTCAATAACAAGCGATTTCTGAGTTAAATTTCAAGACACATTTTTGTTGTAGAGAATTTTCTCAGCTTCAAAAAAAGTTTCTTTGCCATTTCCCCACAGAATCGCCCATAGTCCAAATAATTATAGAAGAATTAAATGAAATTCTTGACACGTTACCTTTTGCAACTTCACTCATTAATGATCTCAGAATATTCAGGTAAAATGCATTCAGCGCCGCTCAATGATGATGTAAAAATGAAATGATGAAATATAAAAATTGGATGGGAGGTCACAATAAGTTAGTGCAAACGTTTCCAATTACCTGTAGCTTATGACTTTCTCATTGTTTATGAAAGTGGAAAAGTACTTTACAATGAGAGACGTTATTTCGACCGGTATATACCAGAAACTGGTACTTGGGCCGGTAATTGGCAGAGCACCAGTTCGGCAAACTGGAGATGTGGGATCATACCCCACCTGAGTTCGAGTCCGTGTGCCTCCGAATTTTTTAATTTGTGCATTGTTAATTATTTAATTGTTTCCCTCGTATAGAGAGAAAACATCTAAGGTTTGACCGAGTAAAATAGTCCGGGGATAATACAGAATATGAAAAAATACTTGTCCAAGATTTTTCATTCAATCGTCATATCTAGAAATAAAATATTTCCATCAAAACCGTTATTATCTCAATAACAAGCGATTTCTGAGTTAAATTTCAAGATACATTTTTTTGCAGAGAACTTTCTCAGCTTCAAAAAAAAGTTCCCTTGACATTTTTCCATAGAATTGTTGACCTGTTATGTTTGCCACTTCATCTATCAATGATCTCAGAATATTCACGTATAATCCATTCATCACTGGATCTTAATTACACGTGTGAACCCCTAATATAATGTGCAGCTGTCTGTAAATATATGCGATTGGACACCTCAAGAACCTGTTATTCTCCACGTGTAACCAGCAAACCTTACCCTAATGTATAAATAGTATTCAATAGAGAGAAAGAGACCAAAGATGATTAAATTCAGAAATACATTAAGTAGGAAAAATTGTTATATCAATTGAACCTGAATTCTTACAATAAACGGTGACATTGAAAGAATCATGAATATTGTACAATTTATTCTGTAGAGTTTGTGTTATGAATCAATGAGTCAATCTTTAAATTTTTGTCAATTGTGGATTTATCTCGGGAACCAATGGTTTTAGAAAAAAACATCATAAGCTCTTTTTTGTAGCTGAGTAAATTTGAAACAAAAAAGTCTTTTGACAATTTTTTCTGGAGTCACTCGTTGTCGAGATAATTGAACGATTAAGGAGACGTGGGAATTCGATTTGGTTTTGCAAGTCAAACATTCTGTTCTTGACAAAAATGAAATTATCTCGATAACGCGTGGTTTGAGGAGAAAATGTGAAAAATAATTTTTGTGGTGGATGGAATTTCCAACAAACCGAGTGTTGACATTTCCTCCTAGAGTGGTTCGTTATCAAGATAACGCAGTGATTAAAAATGTGTGGAATGTTTACATTGACTTGTAAAATTTCAGGTCGAATATTCTACTTTTGTTGAATATGGAATTATCTCCAGAATGAGTGCCTTCGAAAAAAAGTTATTAGTCCATGATTCAATAACTGCTGAGTAAATTTTATATTTAAAAAATTATTGAATGTTATTCCTAAGTCACTCATAAGGAAGATGATTGAATATTTAATGTGGTATGAGGAGGTGAGAATTTAATCGTTCTGTTCTATTCTGTTACTTTCCACCACTTCGTAATTGAAATGCAGATTGTAACCAGTAGTGTGTATTGTTCGTTTTGTTGATGTTTTTTCAGATGTCAGGGCAGGTCATTCAGCTGGTAAAAATCAACGTAATCACTTTGCAAAAAGTATTTGCACTGCAATAAATACAGGAAATAAATACGATGAAATTATGAAAAGATTTGGATTGGAGAGGGTGAGGCAAAAATGGTCTTGAATCTTCGATATCTCCGAAACAAATGATTTGGTTTTATCAAATTTAATTCGAAAAATTGAAGATATTGGAGACTGTATATTCATTCCACTAACCAAGTTTTCAAATAAAATGAGACAAGAGTCAGTTTTTGTTGGATATTTCTCAATCTAAGGTAGATACGAAAAATTTTAGTAAAAAATGATTTTGCACCTATCATTTTGCCCAACAAAAAATTCACAATTTTGAACCTTAAAAACTTTAAAAACCCTCAAAATTAAGCCTGAAAATTATTGTACGAATCTTTTTTTATAAAAAAGAATAAGAACCAGAAAAGCAAGGTCTTACAAAATCATTCTATATGCGTTAAAGCCAAAACCAGATTGAAATTAGCTACATTGTTGGAAATTTTTTATGAAATTTTCAAACATGCTGTTAGTCACGGACGAAAAAATTCAATAGAAAAACCTATCGAATTCGTCAGAAAATTTAATTTGAATTTTTATTGAACTGTTCTATTAGTTTTTGGCCAATTCTATTGAAATGTTCGTTAGAAAATTTGAGTCGAGCAAATTCTATAGAAAATATATGAAAAGAATGAGTTATATGGAAAAATCGAGTTCTGTCAACTTTTTCTATTAAATTTTCTCTATTGAACATGTCAATAGAATCAGCCTAAAACTAAGAGTTGGTTTAATAGAAATTTAATAGAATTTTCTAACGAATTCGATAGGTTTTTCTATTAAATTTTTTCGTGCGTGGTAAATACTCAATTCCTTGAACATCCAATGAAATATCAATTTTCAGTCTCAATGACAGTGCATTATTGAAAGTTTAAGCAACTATTAATTTAAATTTTCAATCTGTTGAAAATTCAATCAAATGTAATGCTCCATTTTTACAATGAGTTTGACAATTGCAGCTATCATTGGACCTCAATTATCTGTAAACAGCGTTTACTTCTCTCAAAAAATTTCAGACAGTGTAGTCTTCCACGTACAAAAAAAATTTACAGAACTAACCAGAACCTTCTATTGAATTTCCATTGAAAATTCCATTAGTTTTTCACGTGTTTTTTGAGGCACAGATTGTCAATGGAAAATATTTTATAGAAAAAAAATATTTTACAGAAATAATTTCTCTAGAAATTTCTCAGCTTGAATTTTCCCAATGAGTAAAAAAATGCAATGACAAAAAAACAAAAAATTCATAGCGAGCAATAAATTCCAATAGAATAAGTTGTACGAAAACCTCGAAATATATTTTCTCGTTCAATAGAATTACCCAAACCTAATCCAATTTTTGACAAAAGTCCAACAGAAAACTTGCCTCGAAAGTAGAATGAAAATAAAGTTGACCCATTTCACTAGCGAAGTGATAAAACAAGTCAAGTTGATGTTGATTCCTCGGTTTTCAATGAATATCTCGAAATCTACGTGAGATATCAAAAACCTTGTCATGACCTTTTTTGTAGCCCCGAATCCGCTCTCCAAAAAAGGTAATTACAAAAATTTCGTTATCTCCCTCAGATTCGGAGATATGCCTCGCAAACTCACCTAAATCAACTTAAACAGTTTCAAAAATCCCGTCGCTGTTGATTTCGTTTCAGCACTTTCCAAAACCATCGCCAATAATTCTGTTCCAGGAGCAGATCGTCCGCGATCCCTGAGCATCAGCCGAGCCCCAGACACGGACTACGTCCTCCTCCAGCCGTCCCCGATATTCCACTGGGCGCCAGTTCCAGACGAGCCAGAGAGCTCTGACGAAAGCTCCCACGACTCCCTCGTGCACCTGCAACGCACCAACTCCCAGAGAAGTGTCGCCTCCCAACAGAGCATCGAGTCAGACGCGCCAGGTCGTAAAGATAAACCGAAAAATCGGCCTCGGTCTATCCTGACGTCGCCTCCATCATCGCCGAGAGCCTCCCGCGGACCGCGACCCAGTGACGACAATTCTTCCCAGAAAACCATCACCAAAAGCCTCATAACTAATAGCAACAGCAACACTTCGTTGAGTGGGAGGTCCGCGAGGCCCTCGATGTCTCGTATTGACGAGAAAATCGACAGCATCGAGATAAATGTGACACTTCCATCACCAGAAAATCCGCAGGATTCAGACGAACTATCGAATATTGTGATTAATGATCTCAACGCGCAGAATGACGAGAGTGACGACGAGTCGACTCCACTTGTATCTCAAGTTTCCTCGCCCATAAATGTTCATTCGTTTAATTCAAAGCCTCAAACAGGTGGAAATGCAGATTTAAGTCGTCACCAAATCTCGTGCTCTGCGCTGGGCGTCAAAAGGGCGCCTCACACCGGTGACAATTGCGATAATTTTATTAATAACTGCAGCGACGATTCCGTGAGTCTTGTTATTCGGGAGACCCTTGACGGTCGACTGTCGCGACAAGACGCGGAGGATTGGGACAGCCCTGAAACCCCAGTGTAATTTAGGTGTAAGTTGTATTTTCAGGCGAATCCGGCGGCCTAGGAAATTGTGTTAGTAGATGTTATCAATATTCAAATAGACGTTGATAGATTTAGGTTGAGGGGG